CAAATTAGTTCATAGGAAAATGTATTCAAATGCGAAAATTAGCAAAAGTTAATAACTTGTGATTGATTTAAGAGAATAATCGGTGGGTATAACTAAGATGTACAGTCGCCTGATTGAATATCTGGTCTACCTAATTCTTTTAGTATCCAGATATTCCAACAGGTTATCACTTTACAAGGTACAAAAATGTACAACCACAGAAATCACCATGGTTGGCAGTATCGATTGAAAAGAATAAACTTTAATTGGTAAACTGGACTATCTTCAACTGGCAATACGTCTATAAATGCATCGTAATTGTGGTGTAATCACAATTAAAGAATCCTAGTTGAATGGCTTTATTCAACAATCTCCTGGGCTTTTACTAAAACAATACTTTGTTGAGGGAAGTGCCGAAGGTAGTGAGCCGGGTATGTGTTCAATCATTTGAAGTCAGTGTGAATGCGGTTGTAGATAGACATTTAGAATCTCTGTATATACCTCTCCAATGTAATCTTATACTAATCATCCGTATCATTCATATCTTTCTCTTTGTATATATTCCGACAGCACCCATGCATATAAGCAAAGTTTAAAAGCAGTACCCTATCTATACAACAAGTAGGTTTTAAGAGCTGACCTGATCAATAGCATTCATTATGAAAGATATTACGCACTAAGAATTGTTTAGATTTTCATCTTATTTAAAATAACATTTTACTCAATTCCAGATAGTTTATTTACACATTTCATTTATATATGTATTGCAGTCATTGATTTTTTTTGTCTAAAAGAAACTTATTAAAATACGTAGCGGTGAAAATCTCATGTACTAAACATAAAATATTGAAAAAAGCTGTCAACATTAACTAATTAAAAATAAGAGAAACGGTGAGCATGTCTATAATTTGATGGGTATAGAAGACAGTTTGACAGCTTACTGTCTTATTGTTCGAAAACGTGACATATTATTTTTCATCTGCTGTCTGAATATAGTGTACAACTTGTGTGTTATGTACACTAGTGTTCTACTGTGCAGTTATATTTAATTTAACACAACTTAAATGTAATTATTTGTCATAACAGAAATAAACACTTATATTGTCTGTATATTTTAAGGATAACTTTTGTGATTTTGGATTTCAATTCGTTATTTAGTTCTGTTATTGAAATATATTGTTATAGTATCTTTATTCTTCACATATTTAATGATGGAAATCAGGTACCTTCTGTCGTTTTTCTCAAATATCATGAAACACAAGTTTTAGATCCCATAGCTAGTTAAATAGAAAAGATATACTGAAACTTGTAACTAAAGGCTATACTGTGACAATCTATTTATAAAGCTCTCTTCTCAAAACATATAGTGATCGATTACCTTACTTAATGGAAACACTAGGAAATTACAAACCCTTATTAGAAGTACAGTTACCAAGACATAGATGATTAAGTTTACTACCTTTCGTTTACATCTCAGCTGTAAGATCCCTGTTTAATTCATCATTTGCTGAAATCGATAGTGTTTGGAAAGTCATCTGATTATCTTCAGGCCCCTGACGTTGGCATTGACATTACAATGAGCTGATCTGTGAAAATATAGAGTATATCTCATTCAGTAACATATTATGTTTCTCAAACGAATACAGTTCTAATAGTCAGTAATAGCAAATTTATTACAATGACAAACAAGGCTGGTTTTTTCCTAAACAAAAGTGGAATAACAAGTGGTATGATAAAATTATTTCTTTATAAAGTTTATGGTGGTGTTTCGTTCTCTGAGCTGGATGTTTTGGTTGCGGAGTTTTCATTGTTCTTTTGAACAGCGTCATCAGCACAAACTTCTATCTGAACGAAACACCACCATAATCATGCACCTGAGTTGCAAATTTTCTCCACCATCTTATAAAGTTTAAAAAGTGATCATTGAATTTCTTTTGCCTAAGTTGAGTTAGGAGTTAATATAATTTGATGAATATTTATTTAGACATTTATTAATTGTTAAGGGATTCAGTCATTCATGACGGTATTTTGTTATACTGAAATAATCGTAACTTTACAATATCAAACTTGCTTTCAATTTTATGAATATTTAACACTGTCATAGTATGATGTTTCTTCAACTTCAAACATCATGGTCAACGTTAACTTTCGATAAGGTATCGTAAATGAATAGAACATATGTCGTTTACATCATGAATTTACATTAGATAGGCAACAAGTAACATCTAATATCGTGATAATGAGAATTGACTGAAATTAAATTTAAAAAACCACTGGACTCCAACTCAATCGTTTACAATTAGATTGCTCACTGAATGGTTTGAACTTCTTTAGTTCGACCTCTAACGAGATCTGAAATCTGCTTTGTTGGGTAATCTCAAATAACGTGACACAATAATCCTGTACTCTCTGGTTTTTACTAATTACGTCACTTTAAAGTGCGAACTATGCAATCTTTTCAAATTACATTTGTTAATTGAGAATTGATATTTTCTATATACAAAGTATATAAATAAATCATGGACTGAAGTTTATGTAGTTTCTTTATTGGTTCTCTATATTTAGAATTTTCTTTGCCTAATCATACTAATCCACTTTCTCTTTCTCTCTCTTACTAATTGTTTTTTTTTTCTTTAACGTTTTACACCACTTATGTCAGGACTTGTAGATAATAAGCAAAAAATTGTGGTAATAACTTGAGTGTACACGTAATCACTTGAAAAGCCAATAAAATACCACAATATGATTAATTTCTTGGTTTTATTTTCAATATGATTTTGTTCCGCTTCATGAGATTTATCAATTGCATTTTCTATGCAAAATAATCATCATCTATCAAATGTTTTCTTCCCTACCATTTAATCGACATTACTGAAATAATATTGTGCTTTTATATAAATACAACTTATCAATGAACATGCAAACAATTTTAGTGCTAATGATTATCTTGCTACGTTTTCCCGTTTGATGCATAGAAAACATGTAAGGATATGTTTTTTATCAAATGATGTGACTATTTTCACAGAAATATCTTCATCAACATGGTTGTTTAGGGTTGTTTAAATTATTAAATATTTGTAAATAGTTCTTTTTAACAAAGAAGTTTGGTGCGCATTACACGAATAGTCATCTCGATAAGTTAAATGCCATCTCCGAAATGCACATCATGAAAACGTATTTGCCAGTCAATTACTGATGGCCAGAGAGTGGTAGACAGCTGTCCTGTCCTAGAAACCTCACTACAATTTGTTTCCTAACCTTGGCAATAAAAGCGTGATTTATTTTATAACTGAGCCGGAATCAAGTAGTCTGAATTTCTAAAATCACTCAATTTACGATATTATACAACTATTATTCTCAAAGCATGGTGAATGAGTTCTACTTTTAACAAGGTTGAACACCACATATGGTTGCACACTTCAGAAGAGGCTCATATTGGAATGAAGTGGCTCCCTAATCCAAACTGGTTTTCTCCTGTGAACTAATTAATTTTAGGTTATAAAATATGTTCATACTGGAAATCTCCATCAACGGCTGTATCATCAGAGAAATGCTTCTATTTCAGATGCCTTCGGTAAATGTTTTGTACAGTATTCATAAAACTATTCCATCGGACCTTAACAAAACAATAGATAAAGAGTTCTATGTCTTATCACATCGATTAAAACTGCAATTATGTAAAGGATTTGTAATGTGAAAATTAGAAAAACACACATAAGCGAACAATGTTGTTTTCGATTAGATCGTCATCAGGCTTTACTCTAATATACATCAATATTTATATGAAAATGTTTAAATTTTATTTTGTTACTATTGGCATTATTTTCACATCCTGTATTTGTTAGTGATTCTCTGCCTCTTTCCGTTTACATTTTTCACTACCTAATTGTGTACACACTTCTTATTACGCAATGGTTTTGATGTTTTGTAATGTTTATTTCAAGTCTATTTATTCACGTTTGACCTACTATTGATAAAACTTTTGTTATCATGTTTTATTTTTGTTACTATTATCAGTATACCTATCTTCCTACTATTAACTTGTACTTTTGCCTATTACGTGTAGTGACGTAATCTATTTCATTTCATTGTGATTATTGACTCGAATTGCCTTGATGTGTTTAACATTTTCATATAAATATTCATGTATATTAGAAAGTAAAGCCCTATGACGATCTAATCGAAAACAATATTGTTCGCTTATACGTGTTGTTTTGATTTGTATTGTCCTATATGATAATAAACATCGATCATATAAAATCAAATCATTAAAGCTATAGATTCAAATCATAGGTTTGTTGAAAAGTTCCTTCATAGAAGGATACTATAAATTTCAACTAACTAAAAGCCTAAACTTGAATTTTCAAATCAACAACTCATAATCAACTCATTCTACCGATGAACACAATATATAGCATTTGAACAGTGATTATGTCAGATAATAATTATCAACTTTGATAGTAAAAACGTATTTACTCAGCTCATTTCGTATTGTATTAATTATAGGGAAATTTCACATTATTTAATGAATACTTGGAACTATTCTGCTATTACATACAATCTTGAATATGATCATTTAAAAAAAGTACCTAATATTTGAAATGTTTATTTAATTGAGGTTTAGCCAGATTTGGAAGTTTTGTAAATTCTGCTAGCGTCCGCTTTTCCGATATGTTTAATTCTATATGTAAGAGAAAAAACAACAATTAACAACAACCATATGGAAGTTCCAATGAAACATTACCTAGTACTTGAGTGAACACCGATTTTAAGGTAGATAACTGGTATCAATAAATGAGAGGCTTAAATGAAATCGTTTTGTCAACCACATTGATAGTACCAGAAAAGTTGTTTCTATTTATTTTTCGCGCATTTTAAAACTTGCCTAGTTATGATTTAAAATAACAACTTTTGCAAGCAATTTACTATACATTTACAATCAGTTTTTTTCATCATCTGAGGGTTAACAAAACTTATTATTTTCAAGTGTTGTTTTTTTCTTGTGTTTTTTAAAATCACAGCTCGTCGTTCCAATACACAAAGTGGTCAGTGGCAAAGATTTGGAAGTTCCAGACGTGGTTAGAAGTATATGCCTTTGGTTAGGTAAGTAAATAATTTTACTATTATATTGTATTATATTATATCAAAATGCTTATCATACTTATTTAAGTGTTTCTGATATAAATGTTCTTTGAACATTATTTAGACACAAAATAACCGAGCACAAAATGAAATGGTACTTGTCACAGAAACGTGAAAAAATCGATTGCAGTGGGATTTTAGTTACTTTTGCCCTACTACCAATGAGACATTATTCATATGAGTCCTATTGAACGAATGATGAGTACTTTTCACACTAGATATTGATGCTTATTCAACTGAGTGATTCATAAACATTATAAATTTAACCGCATACTAAAGACTGAGATATTTAAAAGCAGTTATTGTTGGACAGCTATTTCTACATGTTCTGAAACTCTGAAGTAGTGTACATTCAATTAGAATAAAATAATTGTTAAATAGTTGCGGTAATTTGTGATTAAAACATTATCAAAGTGAACAATTCTTTAAAATTTATCTAATTAGACAGTTATGTGGTATTTGTTTTAATTTTCTGTTAAAACATGATTTATTAAGTGTTTTCACTAGATTTTAAATCTGTAATCTGTTTAAAAATGAACTTATCATTCCTTTATGTTTAAACTGTTATCAATAGACAAATATTTTCAATCATTAGTTTGATTACTTCAAAATCAGATCGAAATTATTTCAAATGAACAGTTCCTTGTTCTTCAAGAATTATAGGCAAAAAAAACTTATGAAAAGTCAATATATCAACCGTTACTTATTAAATCAGTTGATTTACTCTTCTGCATATCATCTTATAAAGTCAGCAAAAAAGAGTGGTTTATTTATCTATTATTGAAAGTATTGGGGATGTTAGATCCCCAGAACTAGCTTGATAAATATCTTATTTTGGATTTATTTCATTTGCTGATCAGTTGACCTTGAGATCACATTTCACACCAGGAAAATCCTTGGCTGTGATTGGTTACTGTGTCATTTTAGTGTGCTATTTTTGTGACTGTCCCAAGGACGTCCCTATAGAGTATAAATAAACGCGATTTGAGTGCTTGATTCATTGTATGCTGGCTGGGTGTTTGTAGAATACACTTTCTACGCTATATCAAGACTTTTTGCTGGTACAATTGGGTCAAGGGATCATAGTAGCCTACCTGGACACTGGTTCACTGTTTTGTTCTCGTTATCCGACTAAGGTGAACCCGTAATAGATTAAGCATACCTAGAGACGAGCATAACAGAAAGAAGAAATGAAAAGATTATATCTTAAAATGGTATATCACTTGAACAGTTTGCATAAATACAGTTTGTGCAATGTATGTACTTTAAACTATCTATGTGTCATTAAAAGAAACTCTCTTAAGTCTGGCATATTTCACCACAATAAAAATAAATATGAAAGTAGTTTAGTGTCATTTACAGGTCCAACTCTATCTAACACAAATCAAGTATTCTGTTATTAAATTCTCAGTCGAAATGATCAGTATTTTCTTTGTCCACTTATTTAAAAAAATTCGAATTAAGTTTTTTAAATAAAGTCTTGCAAAAATTCTTCTTGTTCATTTTTAATACAAACTTAAGTGATTTGAAATATTTTATTTTACAAGATAACTGTTACATTCTTTCTGTTGAAGTATTAATTAAAGAATATTTAGAATTTATCTTTATTTATTTATGAGTTTTTATAATCATTTTATGAATTTTGCATAATAAAAAATAAATATGATACCCACTGATTTTTCAAGATTTTATTTACCACTATTTTCTGAAATAACAATTTAAACTTCTGAGTAGTAAAAGCAGGTGACACTTTTGATCTCACAGCATACTTTATTATGGCTAGTAGTGAGAATAGGGAAGTACATTTGATTCTAGTTGTAACTTAACTATTGAAAATACCTGTATTCACATAACGAAACTCATAATACCACCCAGTACTTTTCGTTTCAAACACCAAACTAAGTGATGATACTCACTACTGTTTGTGCTTATTATATCGATATTCATGATGAATTTGAATTAGATTCTACTCTTAAACTATTTTTTTATTTTTAGGCTATTTAAACTCAACCCTAAATCCAGTTATATATGTGATATTCAATCGGGATTTTCGATTGCCGTTTCGAGAAATACTTCTATGCCGATGTCGTGGCATGAATGCACGTTTAAGATCACGTAAATATGCTTTAGAATATGGTATGGCAACTTCTAATGCAAGTCAAGGCGGTGGTGTTGGTTATCCCGCAGGCACTGTTGGAGCTGGTGTAGCCGGTGGTGGTGTTGGCTTTGGATATAGTTTTTCTGGACCATCATTCCCAAACAATGAAAATAACAATTTTATTGATTCAGTAAGTGGTGTTAATAGCGGAGGTATAAATTTATACAATAAAGCTAGATCTCCGATGAATTCACATAATAACCAAATGAATATTTATCCCATGGAACGCTTCAGAAATCAAACAAATCTTGGTTTCAGGCATTCAGGTCAAATAGACAATCCTAATTTATCAATTGGTCGATATGCTGGGCATCATAGTGGATCTGTTTCTTTTAATCGATAAATTATGAAGACAGAGAATATCATTTGATTTGTTTTATTCTCTACACTGTTTTTTTATCATGTCTACTAATAATTGTGATTGAGAAATTTTCTAGGAGAAATATATCCACTGTAACATGATTCACTTATTGTCTTTCATTGTATATCAATTAAAAAGGAATATAAATGCTTGCTTACAGATATGGAAACATTGAAAAATGAATGATCAAAGAAGAGAGAATACTTTTCATTTTTCCTTTTTCTAAAAGATTTCATCTGGACAGAAACACTAAACATTGAAGAGAAAAAACTAATAAATTATCGTGTTTACATAAACTTTTTATTTTGAATCATTTGTCTTACCTGTTTACCAGCTGCATAGATTTAGCCACAAAAACTGTAAACTGTTTTTTTTTTCTTTCCAACCTGTTTACATTTTTTGTATTGCACAACCTTTTCGCTACTTCTTATCCGTTCAGATTTTTCTCTCTCCTATTGCTCGTTGTTTCACTGTCACTGTTTGTAAACTATTTTTTTTTTAGATATGGTTGTATTTTTTTCCAACATACCAGTGTAACTGCTACTCGCCGCTTATCAGTACACTCTAAAACAAATTCCTACACATCTATGCCAGTAAATGTATCGCATCAGTGTTTCAATATTCTCCCCTTCCCCATTTTTAATCATTTAACAAATAAGAGAAACCTGAATGAGATTTTATCATTTACTTATTGATTTAATTTCTCTTTGACCTTCTAACTCATTAGCTGCCTAACACTGCCAGTTTAAACGTAATAAGTAGTATAGAATTGAATCTTTAAAAATGTAATTACGTTGAATAAGTTAACTATGGTAGCAACAGTAAACAGTGAGTGATATGAAAAGAACTGATTAAGAATCCCATATGAAAATCTTCAGTGTGTTTGTGCACCTGAAGAAAAGTCACAGTCATTAGTATACTTGTATATAAACATATATATATATATATATATATATATATATATATATATATATATTATTGTCCAGAGATATCAATGCCAAAAAAATTCTCGCTGATACCATTTAAAAGTGAATTATTTATTGATTTATTTTTATTATAAATCTATCTACCCAGTCGACTTTCAATCATCTTTATTCTTTCCTTTCTTTCTTTCTATTCATCGTTTTATGTGAATAAAAACTCTAACACAGAATAATTTTGCATTTGTCAACAATGAATAATAAAATACCAACTTATGAATAATACAAAGATATCAGAGTACCAAAACTAAAAATAATATATTCTGCCCGTCATTATTTATAGCTAATAATATTTATGAGCCTACTTTACTTTAAAATGAGCAAATCATTTTCACAATATGAATGCCAAATGATTTATTGACTAAAATGTCTGCTATTTTTTTTCTTCATCTAATCAATATGCATAAAATATTTCATGTGATCTGCATATTCCCACTCTCCTCTTCTTGTTTGTTTTTTTTTTTTTTTATTTTTACACTACAATAGAAAATTAGTGATAAAGTTGTAAAATTGATTTTCTTGCTTTTTTTAATTGCATTTACATGCGCTTATCGATCGATACTCGAACACTGCGAACAAGCCAAAAGAGAAAAAAACAAACGGTCACTTTCTCGATCATTTGTTTTTATTGACAATTCTCTCTACTTATAATATAGTTAATTCTTACAAATATGTTATATATATATATAACTATACATACAGATACAGTATATTAAAATACAGTTAAAATGATTCTCTACAATCCCTTGACTTGCTCATATCGTATTCAGCACATCATGTGATCATTGTATATTTCGATTTTGTTAATCCCATCATACTTGTATTTGCCAGTGTTGCTTGTTTATTTGTCTTTTCCTTGAACAGTGGTGTTTATTGTTCAGCTCGTTTGTGAGCGAATTTGAAAAAAAAAAAACATGATTTTATTGTATTTTATTCCCTTTTTTTCTTTCATTATTTTCTCTCCACACTTCTTCTCCCTCTTATGTTCATCCGTTTTCTGTTTATTTTTTTTGCAAAATTATTTTAATTTTATGATATATACATATATATCTATTGGCATATCATGATGCATAAGAGATGATCAAATTGATGTTTATAATAAAAAGAATTTACATGATGAAATCTTTTTGGTGAAATAATTTATTGATTATTTATTGACTAATTCATTTTTGAAGATGTACAGCCATGTATATAGATCCGCGAACGGTTTGTTAAAAAGTGATTATAGTTTACATCATTGAATGATATTAATTCTACTTCGATTGAGCAGGAAAGCAGCAAATGCTACACAATTGCTTTTGATATTATCATCATCAGCATCTAACTTAAAATGAATATTTAAAAGTAATAGTTTCTTTGGAATAGTGGGTTTAATTTATGACGGTTATTTCACCTTCATTTAAAACTTCACAAATGTGAGTGTATATTCATTTACTAAGATAGTGAATTTCAAAATGCATAGCACATACTCTATGCGTCCTAATGAACATATGTTAGTTAGTTAACAATATTTGTTTTTTCTAGTTATTGGGAACTGAAACGTGTGTAAATTTGTCAATTGTCTGTAACAAATAAGCTTCGCAGCTGCTTAGTTAAAAACATTAATCCATCATCTTGTTTGGTGTATATGGTTATGGGAAAAATCATGATTTATCAGTTATGCATCATCTCAAAGAAGAAATAGCCTATTATCTATGAAATGAGTTGGCTTTCTATTTGACTGTACATCAAGATGTATATCATTGGGACTCAACAATGTCTTATAATTGTATTAAGTCATACCTGAGTTCATTTTCATGTACATGATTATCATCAGTGGACTACGGGTACATCCAGATAACCAGTCTCAAATAGAATTTCCTGTACTTTACTATTTAAAGTAAATAAATTCCATAAATATTATTTTTGGCATCAGATAAACAATATCATTAACATAATACACAAATATATACTTGACTAAGCACTGTATGATATGATAGTCAGTCAGTTACAACGTAGAACTTCGTATGTAAGTGCGTCAGTTCAGGTTGCCATACCACATTAGCACTGAGATGCAATTGTCAATTGGAATCTCATAGTGGTAAAGATGGTAGAAGAATTACTGTTAAAGGAGAAGATTACCATTTGAAGATAATATTCAAGAAGTATAATTCATTCAGTGAGATAAGTTTAGAAAGACAAAGGTAGATGTGTTGACGAATCCAGAAGATTAGGATTTGAGAGAACACAAAGAGTTGATGCACCTGCGCCATAACTTTACTAATCTGTGCACACTACATCAACCGTGATATTATTAAATAAATGAGTATAAATAATACATATTCTTTCATTAATCTACGGCGTATTTATGCATCTTAATAGTTCGATAAGTAAATCAAGTTGATTTTAGAATGTCACAGTTTGAAAATAAGAATTTAAAACAACAGTAACTGTGATAGTAGAACAATGAGCATTAAATTCATTTTAAGAATTATCATATTTATTATATAGTAATTTTACCATTAAATACGAAATAGGTCATGAGGTGTTGAAACGAATCTACGAATTCATGATAGTGTGATTCAAATAATGTTCGCGTCTTATTCAAACATCACGTAGAATACACCGAATGTGAGCAATTTTTTTATGGATATCGTTAACTATGAAGAATATTTCTTAATATAAACATATAACTACCACCCTGTCAACTCTGATAATAGGCAAACATTTTGCTATTCCATCACAAAAAGTCGTGGAATTTGCTGCAGTTGTTCAAAACAATGGATTCACACTCATTAAAAATATTCCTATCAATCAAATTTTTATTTTCCTTAAAAAAATATATATATATACAATGGTGCAACATTTTTCCTTGAAGTTAGAAGTACTGATATTATCAAAATCAATTTGAAAGAACTAATTTACATGATACATGAAATAGTAATGTTTTGTTGAGCTGGATATTGTTTGATTGTGTATGCGACTGTCATATATCACACATAACATCACACTATATCAATAAGATCGAAATACTGAAGTGAATATGATTTATACGTTACTAATAAATATTGTAAAGCATTACAGTGAAGTCAACTTGATAATATATGATTGTTAACTTAGGTACAGCTTACTTCTAGTCTATCTATATTTATGATTATATATGACAACAATAATATTTGGTGACTAATTTTTTATGAGCAAATTTATTTTATCACACTGATGTAATCTTCATCATATTGTCATTTTTGACTGATTTACAATTCATGTTTGAAATTTTGGATTCGATTAGGCAACTAGTTCATGAAACACTAAACTAATATAAACTTATCATCTAAAACGATAAATTCACTTATTATTATTATTATTATTATTATTATTATTATCAATTACGTTGATATATGAGAACATATGTAAATATACATAGAATACTACTTAGTTAGTGGTTTCAATAAAAACAATATATCTATAGAAAAATTGAGATGGATTATGAAATATTTACCTTCGAAAATCCATTACCTCATAGAACAATTTATTTACTTGGTGAATTAACTAAAACTGCAAGTCGCAAGCAAATCAATAAATCTGGTTTGCTCATTAAACAGTATCTTTCTTTCAACTTCTATCTGAAGTTCGTGCTGATGATGTTGTTCAGACGAACAATGAAAGCTCCACAACCAAAACAACCAGCTCAGAGAACGAAACACCACCACAATATATATATATATATATATATATATATATATATATATATATATATATATATGTGACTGCGATCACCCGTTAGAGTAAGCAAGAACCCGGTTGCGCTAATTTTGCAAATTAGTCAGCCCAACAAGCCATTCAAACAAATAATGCTAAATGCTCAATCATATTTCGTCATTGTTAATCAAATGACAATATTTTGTTCATGACACTAGCAGATGTATCAATAATTATGGATAAAATCAATCAATGTATCCATAATTGTTTACGCTACCATGTCAACTTAAAGAAAAAGTAAAACAATGCTGAAATCAAATAAAT